GAGAATGTACCTCTTTACTGAAACATACAAAAATGTGCCCTACTCAAAAACGGGGGCTCCTGGGTGGCTCTGTTGGTTAAGCATCTGACTCTTGGTTTTGGCTCAGGTCATGATCTCGGAGTCAGGAGATGGAGCCCCCTGTCAGGCTCCACGCCCAGTGTGGAGCCTGCCTGAGATTCTCTCTCTCCCTCTCCCAATGCCCCTCCAGCTTGTGCGTGCTCATTCTCTCTAATATAAATAAATAAATCTTTAAAACAACAACAGGGCACTGACTTTGTTCATGTGTTCACTCATTTTTTAAAAAGATTTTATTTATTTATTTGACAGAGAGAGCACAAGTAGGCAGAGCAGGCAGGCAGAGGCAGAGGGAAAAACAGACTTCCCCCGGAGCAGGGAGCCCAATGTGGGGCTCGATCCCACATGACCTGAGCCGAAGGCAGATGCTTAATGACTGAGCCACCCAGTCGTCCCTTTCTATTTGCTCATTTAACAGGCATCTGAAGTGCTCTTGATGCTGTGCTATGCACAATTAGAATCTGGCAGAAAAATATGTTGGAGAAACTGTCATGGAGACCATAACTCAGTAAAGAGGGACTACAAAATGGCTGCGGCTACTGGGGGCCCATTCCATGCCAAATGAGGCCAGGCCAAAGGGAGGCAAGAGCAGAGGAGGAACAGACAGTGTAGGCTGCCCAGGCGACGGTGGCTCCAGAAAAACCCATTTCCAACTGGGCTCCAGAGCAAGGCTGGCATTATAGAGTCCATCCAAGATTATGCCCACAAGGTGGCCCAAGGTGATGGGGGCCATATTTCTATATATTAATGCCCTCTGACATCTCCTCCACTTGACCCTCCTATCCTTAAACCAAACCTTCAATCAGAGGGGAAAAAGAGACTGTTTTAGTATATTGAGCAATTAATTTCATAATAAAAAAAAAACCCTGAGGTGCCTGGCTGGCTCAGTCAGAGGAGCATGTGACTCTCGGGGTCAGGGATCATGAGTTTGAGCCCCATGTTGGGTGGGGTGTAGAGATTACTAAAAAAAATAAATAATAAACTTAAAAAAAAAAAAAACCCATAGGGGCACCCGGGTGGCTCAGTCGGTTAAGCGTCTGCCTTCAGCTCAGGTCATGATCCTAGGGTCCTGGGATCGAGTCCTGCATCAGACTCTCTGCTCAGTGGGGAGCCTGCCTCTCCCCCTGCTTGTGCTCTCTCTCTCTCAAATAAATAAAATCTTTTTAAAAAACAACAAAAAACAGGGGCACCTGGGTGGCTCAAGTTAAGTGTCTGCCTTTGGCTCAGGTCGTGATCCTAGGGTCCTGGGATCAAGTCCCACATCAGGCTCTCTGCTCAGCAAGGAACCTGCTTTTCCCTCTCCTTCTGCCCGCTGCCCCCCTGCTTGTGTTCTCTCTTTCTCTGTCAAATACATGAATGAAATCTTTAAAAAACAAAAAAAGAAAACAACCCCACAACATACAACTCGTTATGCCATTGAGATATTAAACTCCAGTGGGAGAAGCTATTTTTTTAATAGTAAAATATTTTAGGAAAGTTACCACTGCAGCCCCTTCCCTTCGGTTTACCCTTAGTGAGCATCTACTATGTGCTAAGCTTTGGACTAGACTTCCTGCTTTGTCTCTCTCCTCCCACCTTTAATATTCTTTAATGGTTTTGCCAGCTCTTGGATGTGGGTCTAGCTGATGAACTGTACCCACTAGCTGTTGCTGCTGCTAAGCCTGGTAACAAGATGAAGAAATGTCGGTATCTTGACCACAAAGCATCAGTGTCCAGCTACCTCTGTCCCCGACTCTCTAAGGACAGTGTTGCCCCGGTTGTGGGGGAAACTGAACATGGTAAAATTCCTGAAGTCTAAAGTAAATATTCAATAGGAGCAGGTTGGATTTTTAAACGGGTTTCCCTCAAAGATGTCTAAGGGGTTATTCATCCTCTGAAACCTCTTTAGAGTTAAAAATGATCTGACAAGGAAGGCCTGGGCATTGTGGCTTTTAACTAGAACATAAGAGTTGCTGGTGCCCTGAATACTGCCTTGATATTTTAGCCTGTAGAGTTAAGGAAAATTTAGACAAACTGGGTCTAAAGTCACCAAAACTCAATACTACCAGATCTGCATCCCATTTCCATGACTGCACTCACAATACATACCATGGAACAAAGCTAACTAACTCACCCTGGATTTTGGTTTTCACCAATACCCTCAATATAACTTATGATTTTCTCTGGTCTCAAATGGTAATCTTTTGACCTACAAATTAGCTATCACTGCCTGAACAAATGAAAAAGTATTTCAAATTAACACAGGTAAGAATCTGGCTTAAATTAAAAGCCTCTCCATCGACACCAAATTCCATAAAACCCATCTCTTCAAAATAGTACCATCAAAAAAATATATCCTTAGAGGTTAGAAATTCCTTGAGAATATTCACTCAGAAATTTCAATTTGTGCCATATCTGCAAGGTATATGTTTGCATGCAGTTCTTCTCTAACCTTTTCACCCTTCTTAGCTCAGTGAAACTTTTTTCAAAATTGTTCTTATTTCCCAGGTTTTAGCACCAAAAGAAAACTGTTCTCATTTGCTTCAATTTTTAGACAAATGTCCGGTTTCCTCCAGCCCTCCACTATAATGTGAGTATTCTAAGCAATGTTTTCAGGCTGACACATGAAAGTACTTCAGAAAATTAAAAGGTAGGGCTGCCACTGTCTACAGTGCTTTACCCAGGCTAAAACAACAGGAGAACCAGGCACTTGGACTTTAAAAGTTCTCTCCCTGTGGGGCACCTGGGTGGCTCATTCAGTTAGAGTCTGACTATTGGTTGAATCTTGGTTTCCGCTCAGGTCATGATCTCAGGGTTGTGAGATGGAGCCCCACATTGGGCTCCAAACTCAGCAGGGAGTCTGCTTGAGATTCTCTCTCACTCTCCCCCTCCTCCTGTTCACATGTTCTCTCAAATAAAGCCTTTATGGGGGCGCCTGGGTGGCTCAGTCGTTAAGTGTCTGCCTTCGGCTCAGGTCATGATCCCAGGATCCTGGGATCGAGCCCCACATCGGGCTCCCTGCTCTGTGGGAAGCCTGCTTCTCCCTCTCCCACTCCCCTGCTTGTGTTCCCTCTCTCACTGTGTCTCTCTCTGTCAAATAAATAAAATCTTTAAAAAAATTAAAAAAAAATAAAGCCTTTATGGGGCGCCTGGGTGGCTTGGTCAGTTGGGCATCTGCCTTCAACTCGGGTCATGATCCTGGAATCCCAGGATCCCTGGATCAAGCCCCTCGTCGGGCTCTCTGCTCAGCGGGGAGTCTGCTTCTCCCTCTGACCTTCCCCCCTCTCGGGCTCGCTCTCAAATGAGTAAATAAAATCTTTTAAAAAATAGGAAATAAAAGCTATCTCCTTGCATCAGTCTTGGTGTAAATGAACAGACATTACTCATATAGTGTGTTCTCTGTGTAAGGGGTAATTCCCTTACCCCAAGGCCTGAGTATTTATAAATCCACTTTTTTTGTGGATTTAGCTAAGAACTCATGCCTGGTTTTAAATATTTAAAATAACAATAGAGGGGCACCTGGGTGGCTCAGTCCATGGGGACTTAAGCTCTGGACTTGATCTCAGCATCCTGAGATCAAAGCCCCACCCCCCCCCCCCCCCCAGTCAGGCTCTGGCACTCAGTGGGAAGTCTGCTTCTCCCTTTCCCTCTGCTCCCCCCCTGCTCTCTCTCTCAAATGAATAAAATCTTTAAAAAAATTAAAAATTAAAAATAAGAATATAGTCTAATCCTCTCCTAACCTAGGTCTTCCATGTGTTAATGTGCATACTTCCCAGATTTGACCCAGCCCCAACATGACTCCACCCAGAAATGCTCCCTAAATGACACAGGTTAGAAGGAGTTGAACTTTGGGGCACCTGGGTGGCTCAGTTGGTTAAGCGACTGCCTTCGGCTCAGGTCATGATCTTGGAGTCCCGGGATTGAGTCCCGGGATGGAGTCCCGGGATTGAGTCCCGGGATGGAGTCCCGGGATCGAGTCCCGCATCGGTCCCTGCTCAGCAGGGAGTCTGCTTCTCCCTCTGACCCTCCCCCCTCTCATGTGCTCTCTCTCTCATTCTCTGTCTCAAATAAATAAATAAAATCTTAAAAAAAAAAAGGAGTTGAACTTTATTTATATTTAATTTTGTACAGGAAACAGGACAAGCAGTTTGATTCACTTTTTTTTTCTTTAAGAAAGCAAAATCCTTCTGGTAACGGGCAATTTCCATAAAGTGGGGTTTACTTGTCCCATTTTCCACTCACCAAAGCCCTAAAATTCAAAACTTATTTCCCAAACATGGAAAAGGCAACCAAAACAACAACTTGAGAATGTCTGGAACAAAAGTGTGTTAACTCCTGAAGCAGGTTTTAGAATGGCTACTCAGCCAAATTGCTTTTTTCAGGTTTACTGACTTCCATCATGGGTATGGCAACCTCCTTTCTGAGGGAAGAAAATTGCAAATATTTAGTATCTGGAGTTGTGGATGAAATGAGATATACGATGTACATTTCATGTTTGTTTTTGAATTTATATATTTCCCCCAATTCCCCAGGACACATTTCTTTAATACCCAAGTCCGGGCTTGCTTTAGGGACAATCTTCCTTTGTGTACAAAACTTAAGGGTACCTTGAAAAACTCAGAATTCAAGATTAACAATTTTAACGTAGTATTTAAAAGTCAAGACTAATGCACAAAAAATTCCGGGACGACCAAATTATCAAAACGTTAAATAAAGGCAAGATCCACCCCGGACTCTCCATCCTGATATCACTCCTAATCCTGATCGCAATCCTGATCCAATAGAACGTTATTTACAAAAACCTGGTCCGAGTTTCCTGACGATTCGTTTATGCACTGCGTGAAAATATTTACCTTGATGCCCATCAGGCATCGCCCCCACCTTGGACGGAGCTCGAGCCCCCCTAGGCAGCTTTGGCTCTGAAGGGGAGGGAGAGAGACCTGGGAGAGAGCCCAAGGCGTCCCGGCCAGCTGGCAGCGCCCGAGCCCGAGGGTCCTAGAGATCGGGGCGCCCCCAGAGCAAGGCACTCACCGCGCGAACACGTCGGGGTATTGAGAGCGTTGGAAAACGCTCTCCAGCTCCTTCAGTTCCAACGGGATGAACGTGCTGCGGTGGAGGTATTGCTGCCTGTCCTGGGGCTCCTCCCCGCCGCCGCCGCCCCTCTGGCTCTCGGCGTCCACGGGGCCGCCAGCTCCCGCGCCACCGTGGCTTTCTTCTCCTCCTGCCGCGGCTCCCTGCTCAGGTCCGGCCCAGAGCTCCTTCTCGACGTCTCCTCCCGTTTCGGAGACCACGGCAGGCTTCGTATCTGGAAAAGAAAAGGGAGAGCAGGGCGTTGGAGCCCAGGGTGCGTGGGACGGCGACCTCAGAGCAGCGACGTCGGCCGCGCCGCTGCAGCGTCCCGTCCACTCGCCTCCCTCGGGGAGAGGCCGTTTCCTAGACTTCGCCAAACCCGCGCCCTGGTTCGGGCACTCACCCGACGGTTCTCCTCGAAGCTCATCGACTCCCAGGCTGTGGTAAGCGGGGCCTTCTTGGCTGCTCTCGGGCGGAGGCTCCATGTCCAGAGCGCCTCCACAGACTGCGCGGCGGCTCGCGGCGACTTCCCGGTCCGGTCCTGTTTTTGTGCGGGGCGCGGATTACGGCGCGTCGACCCTCCGCTTCAACGTCGGCACGTTCCGACTTGGATGCCGTCGACCCTCATTACTTCAACAGCCGGGCGTGTGGTGGGCGGGACTTGCCGGGGCGAGCACGCGGTCGGGGCGTGGCCACGAAGTAGGCGGAGCGTTTGCCGGAAGGGGGCTGCCGGTAGGGGGCGCGCGCGCGCGCGCGCGCCGGTGGGGGCGGTGGTTTTTTTTTTTTTTTTTTTTTTAAGATTTTATTTATTTATTCATGAGAGACAGAGAGAGAGGCAGAGGGAGAAGCAGACTCCCAAGGAGCAGAGAGCCCGATGCGGGACTCGATCCCAGGACCCTGGGATCATGACCTGAGCTGAAGGCAGACGCTTAACCATCTGAGCCACCCAGGCGCCCCACGGGGGGCGGTGTTTCTAACTCGCCGCTTAGCCGACTCCGCCCGACTCCCGCGGGGCACCGCCTTGGGGAGGGGGCTTTGGTGGGTGGTGGCAGCCCGCCGGGGGCGGGGAAGGGGTGGGGAATGAAACTTCCCACCACTCCCCCGAGCCCTGGGAGACGTGTTGGGAGGACGTCCCGCCGCCTGCCCTCGCTGCACGCGGGTCGGTGCGGGGCTGTCGCCCTACGCCCCTCCAGGGCGGGAGCCGCAGAGATAGGGCTGGAGAAGGCGCGGGGCCCCTGGCAGCCCCGGCACCGGAGCGACGGTATCCCCCTCGCCGTGTGGGCTCTGAGCACGACTCTCCCCTCCGGCAAGTCGGTAACTAATGGATGGGACTGTGGTTGGGTTCCGTTCGCACCCAGAGTCCACGAGCCGGGCTAGTGATCCCGACGAAACGATTAGCTTGGGGGCTGCTTGCTCTGGGGTTTTGCCAGAACGCGCTGAAAGCGGAGCCCATCACGCTCCCCGGGGCGCTCGGGAGCGGAGGCTTGAGGATGGGTTTGCAGAGCACTGTAGGTGCTCGGATGCACGCTCTAAGAAACCCAAACCCCTCTCTTGCGAAAGGAACAAATACTCCAAATTTGTAATAAGGAACTCACATCAAGAGTACAAGTGTAGAACCCCGCTCACTGTTTTGTGCATCCAAGAATGCTTACGCTGCACGTGCTGGACGCGACTGTAGGGCTTACAACCTCTGCATGCTGAGCTCCGCTACCGCGCCTCCTGCCGCAGGTCCTTGGCAAAAGCGCACGTGTTTCTGTGCTGGGTGGGTGCTGGGGACTTGGGTTAGTTCCCACTTTTTTATTCTCCTCCCCCTCCTCCTCTTCGTCTTCTTCCATCTCCCTTTGTCTAGAACTATCTTCCAGAGCTCTTGCTCTCCACTGATAAATATCAAATAAAAAAGAGCCAGGGCATATTGAGGGCTCTGTTTCTCCCTTAAAGAGATGTTTTGCTTAGTGTTGAATACCGCTAAATGACAGCCCGCGCGCGCCCAGCTACTTCCCTCTGGCTATAGTTGGAAAAAAACATATATGTATATACCCAGTGCCCAATAACTTGCTGAACCTGGTGCGAAGGAAAGCTAACTTACACCCTGGTGAAAGATCAGCAGTCACGTAATGATCCATGTCAGAAAGACGGCAGCATCCTAGTCCCTCAAGGAACATATTAACTATTCAGTGCTGTCCTTTTGGATGATAAGATCCAGAGTCATCGACTTCTCATAAATACCTTCCATTCATACAATCCAATTTTTAAGAAGTGCAATTATTTTGATGGTTTTTAATTTTACCCATTTCTCAAGGATGGGTAAAGAATTCATAGAATTTCGAGGATGATAAAAGTCATGTTTTTAATTGTGTTCCTATGATTTCTCTTTACTTTTCATCAAGCCCCAGCAATCAGAGCTCTGGTCTCTGGAATTAAACACCATCAAGCTCTCCTATTAATAAATTTAATTTAGATTCCTCCCCCCAAAGAAACGTTTTGCAGGTGGGAACATGTTAGTATCCTGAGTATTGAGAATAGCTTCTAATAATGGGCCCCATGTTTGACAATGCACATGATTTATCCTACTTTTACCTTCACAAGCACCATTGTCATCAGACCCATTTAATAAAATAAACCATTTTCATAGGTCCCTAAAAGTGGGGGGGGCTTATTCACCTCACCTTATTATTATAATTAATAATAATTATCACCTACTGTGCATGACAAATAAGGATACATTCTCAGTGCCTTTTGTTCCCGGAGGGTGAGTAGAAAACCAGTTACTTGGTAATAGCAAGTGGTTGAATTCACTTTGAAAAATCTGTCAAGGGATTTCATTCCCACAACCTCTCCCTAACTAATCCAGCCTCCTCAGGCTGGCTCTTGCTAGATTCTGCAGGCCTCCCCCTCTCCTGGCTAGATAGCCTGTGATCAGTTTTGGCTTGGGATCAATTATAACATGAGAGAGCTACAGTGGTTAGGATCGTGGTGTGCATTAGCCTGGCTAGAACATCCATTACAACTTGAGTGATGTGGTCTCTCACATTTGAGATTCCCACGATTTATTCCAGTGCTTTCTAAACTTCAGTCATTTATGTGCCCCTTTGGAGAGCGTTGCCTATCTAGGCATCAGGCAAGGTAGTATTTACTTAAAACTTTCAGTTAAGTTGATCGACTTCCTGGTAACCTTACATACCTAATTGAGCCTCATCTAAGTAAAAATAGGCAAAAATTGTGGGTTTGCTGTACCAAATTTATGAGGGCAGAGACCCTTGGAGTCAGACTGTTGGCATCTGTATACCAGCTTTACTTTGCTTTTGCTAGCTAGCTAAGTGGTGAGTTGCTTTTTCTTCCTATGCCTCAGTTTCCTCGTCTGTAAAATTGAGTAATAATAGTACCTACCTCAAAGAGTTGTTGTGAGGATTAATTGAGTTAAAAGCAATAGCTCACACTTAGCTGGTTCTGACTGTGTTCCAGGTAATGGGCTAAGTGATTTATTTGTATTAACACATTTAATTCTCTTAACAACCCTATGGACTTAGAGCTGCTATTATCTTCACTTTACAGGTGATGTTATTGGGTCACAGAGACATTAAATAACCTGCTTAAAGTCACTCACTCGGGAAATGTCCCAGCTGGGATTGGAACGTATCTCTGAATACCATTCCTCACACAAGGGATGTGCTCCGTAACATTTGCTATTATGCCATATGCTATTATTGTACTTTTGTAGTTAATGAGAGATAATCAGAGATGTTAATGAGAATCAGAGATAGGATCATCTTTCAATTCAAAATTCTCTTTCCTTGTTTAACTAATGAATTAGTACCTTCCAGAATTAAACCACTTTTCTTCAGCATCCTGGTTTCAACTCAACCCTGGTTTCTTTCTTTTTTTTTTTTTTTAAGATTTTATTTATTTATTTGACAGAGAGATAGCGAGAGCAGGAACACAAGCAGGAAGAGTGGGAGAGGGAGAAGCAGGCTTCCCACAGAGCAGGGAGCCTGAAGTGGGGCTCGATCCCAGGACCCTGGGATCATGACCTGAGCCAATGGCAGACACTTAACGACTGAGCCACCCAGGCGCCCCATCCCTGGTTTCATTTTTAAGATTTTATTTATTGGGTGCCTGGATGGTTCAGTCGGTTAAGAGTCTGCCTTCAGCTCAGGTCATGATCCTAGGGTCCTAGGATGGAGTCCTGCATTGGGCTCCCTGCTCAGCAGGGAGTCTGCTCCCCCCCCCGCCCCACTCCGCTGGTGCTCTCTCTCAGAGACAGAGTGCGAGCGGGGGGGGGGGGGGGGCGGCGGAGGGAGAGGAAGAGGGACAAGCAGACTCCCCACTGAGTGGGGAGACCGACACAGGGCTCCATCCCAGGACCCCGAGATCATGACCTGAGCCAAAGTCAGATGCTTAACCAACTGAGCCACCCATGTGCCCCAAGCATGCAACTCCTGATCTCAGGGTCGTGAGTTCAAGCCCCACCTTGGACGTAGAGCTTAATTAAAAAAAAAAAAATCATTCTTCACCAATCCAACTTCTCATCTCTTCTAAAAAAACGAGTTAGTAGCATATATCTCCAGTAACACCTGTTTCATTAGTTCACTAGAATAAACATGAGGTAATTAAAAGAAGTATTTGAAACCTGCAAGCTAAAACCAGTCTTATAATACTGGGTTTTTATTCTTTGTTCGAATTTTGCCTTAAAACTCTAGATAAGTGCTGATACCTAAAAAAACTAGGTATCTAGAGAAAACTTAGTATATTGACGAGCATAAGCCAGGAAGCCAAAACTCATTCTTCTGAACTCTGAAATCGTATTTTTTGATGGCATAATGAGTTAATATCATAGATAATTCAGGATTCCTAAGGAATGAGTGAACTAAAAATGACTGTACTAAGTGGAATAATTAGTTGAATCCAGGAAGCTGAAAACCATATTCTTCTCACCTCCACCTTCTTATTTCTCGTTGAAACAAACAGGTAATACTACAGTTAACTGAGTTTCCCTAGGGCACTAGATACCTAGAAATAAGCAGAGATAAGGAAGAAAAACTTGTAGACATCCAGAACCTAGAAAACACTTTTTTTTTTTCCAAATCTAAATTCAAATTGCTGGGGTGCCTGGCTGCCTCAGTTGGAGGAATAAGCGACTCTTGATCTCGGGGTCATGAGTTCAAGCCCCATGTTGGGTATAGAGATTACTTAAAGAAACAAACTTAAAACAAAATTTTAGGGGTGCCTGGGTGGCTCAGTCATTAAGATATGGAATAAATCGTGGGAATCTCCAATGTGAGAGACCACATCACCCAAGTTGTAATGGATGTTCTAGCCAGGCTAAAGCACACCACGATCCTAACCACTGTAGCTCTCTCATGTTATAATTGATCCCAAGCCAAAACTGATCACAGGCTATCTAGCCAGGAGAGGGGGAGGCCTGCAGAATCTAGCAAGAGCCAGCCTGAGGAGGCTGGATTAGTTAGGGAGAGGCTGTGGGAATGAAATCGCTTGATACCATTTCACACCTAGCAGGATGGCTATTATCAACAAAACAGAAAACAAGAAGTGTTGGTAAGGATGTGGAGAAATTGGAAGCCTGTGTGTTACTGGCAGGGATGTAAATGGTGTAGTCACTGTAGAAAATGGTATGGCAGTTCCTCAA